CTCACTGATTCCTCGCTGCTGCTGTTTGAGCTCAGAATGCTGTCTCCTCTTCCCTCTGTATGGGTGATTCGTCCCTGTTTTGGGCACTCTGATCATAGCAAACATGGACCAAGCTCAGGAGAAAGATGTGTGTCCCCTCAGAAAAAAGTAATTAACAATACAATGGCCGCTCCTTAAAAGCAGTGGTCTTCATAATGACCTGACAGTTGCCAGTCGTGGCCAATCGCAGGACAATCTGCGGATTCACGAGCACAGCTGATTGACTGATGCAAGTCTACTTTTAACGACTTTTTTCTTTTTTAGAACACTACATGTATGCAGTTAAAACACGTTTGGGTTGTTTCTGAGGTATAGTTCACTGATTTTCTGCAAAATACTTCTGAAAAGTTAAAGGCGTGTCCTGAAGAAAAGCATCTTCACACGCCTCACTATGAACTTTCTAGTGTGGGTTGGAAACAGGAATTGCTGTCCATGTTTCACTGCTGGTGTGTTTTGTTTTTGTTGTAAATCCTCCAGCTAGCTAGTTGCCCAGACCATCTGTCATCTCTACACCCCCCCTATGCAAGAAGGGTGTTGTGGAACTGTGACTATGACTAGGCTGGAAGTAGTGGTGGATAGTATTCAATCCCCAACAGTGTCTTTGCTCCTCTTTTAGTGCACAAACAGAGCTGTTTAAAAAGCATCTAAAATCATTTTTATTTAAATTTTTTTCATGTACCAGCGGTATAAATAAATGTTCCCAGCTTTGTGTATCATTGGTATATGAAGCAGTTTGGTGCTGATCTCCTGCCCGTTAGCACTTTTTCTCAGTCAGCTCAACATGTTTACCCATCGTTTTGGGGCGGTATCAACAGCTTATGACAGCAGGCGTCTTGTTCTAGTGCCTGAAATAAACCATTACAGCTGAATCTGCACCTCGCTCACCAGCCTATCAGCACAGAGTTATGACCATCTTGAGTTTTGTGAGTGCATCACTGAAAAGGACTCATTGTTGACCTTATAACTGGTCATTTGTTTCTGCCAGACTGTGCAGCATTTTTTTCTACACGATCAGCTCTCTCAAAAGCATTTGGCAGGTACCGACTCATTAGGAATTTTAGGCCTTTGATGCCATTTTAATGTGCAAGTTGAGTTATCACCTCATGCCGCTACATTCTGGCTTTCTTGGGGATCTCAGCTTTAGGAGAACAATACAGAGGGACAGCAGCAAGCTAATCCACATGCATACTTTAGTAGCATTTTAAGTGGATGGCCTCTGGTGAAATTGATTGTGCCAATGGATTGAAAAACAAAAGATTTCCAATTTTCTACTACAGGACTAAATAAATGATTTCTCCATATATTCCTTTTAGTTCTCTACATCTTCCTCCCCCCCAAAAAAAATTCATCCATCAACACGTTTTTGCCTTGCGTGTTTCTGTTGCTATCACCCCTGCAGCTTTTTATGATGATGAAAATACCTACCTGCTGTGTGCTGCACACACTGGAAGCATCCTAGATTTTTCTTGCTGTCGTTTTTTTTGTTTTTAATCCACCGCTGCTGTTTTACCTGTTCTACACTTACTTCCAGAGGGCAAAAAAAAAAAAAAAAAAGCAAACAGCAGGACAGTTAGGAGGAGAGAACAAGCATGCAAGGGATACCGGGGAGGATCGATGAGAATAACAGATTGGGGGGGGGACGTTGGTGCTTAGTCAGCAGCACAGCCTCCAGGGGAAGAGTTACCTTCAGCTCTATCACTGAATTGAACTGGGAGCTGTGAAACGACGCCCTGTGTGAACGAGATCAAGAAACCAAGGTTCCTTTGTTTCTGTTCTTCGCTCTGATAGTAATACTGCCTTTTTATTCAGAGGGTGACTTTTGAAGTCAAAATGCAACGCTCAAACTCCCAGCTAGAGGTGCACAGTGCTCGATGGATGAATCGCTATTAAACAGCTGGATGTTTGTTTTTGTTCTCTAAGGGTATGATGATCAGCTATGATACTGAACCATTGTGGCTGCACAATATTCACATTATTACTGTAAACATGTTTTCTCTTTGGATTGTAATAAATAATAGCTGTTAGAAAGACCCATTTAGTTAACATCACCAGATACATGCCTGGACTGAATTAGAGTGATATATTTTTGGTGTTGTTTGTTGGTTATGCAGGAAAAACACATTTCAGAAGTAAGTTAATTACATGTTCTGGTAACATTTCTATTAGGTCTAGGTTTGCAATGAGCATGATTCAGAAAGCTATTAAATTTGTTTAGTTATATGCTTTTTTTAACAAATGTCATCTAAAAATTAACAAGCAGTTTTTTCAGTATCTTTACATGTTTTTCTTTTATTTTGTTTTATAATTTTATTTTCTTTAATGGGCAGCTGTAGCTGTTGCAGTGATGGACCCGAGTATGCAGTCAGATGAATAATATATTATTTGCAGGCAACACTACGTTGATCAATAGGGAAATGCATCAACTTAATGTCTGCAATATTTCAAAACTACACTGCACGGTTTTATTTATTTATTTTTAATAAACCAGATATGTCTCCAACTGTTTAGGATAGCCTGTTTTCCTTCAAACTTGTGATAAACGATGGCTTTTAGTTTATATTCTGTCTCCCATGCACTCTTTCTTTCTTCCTCTCATATTTTTATCCATTATTCACACATTTCAGTTAGCTTTCCTCTGTCTTCCCCCTGCAGCCTTTTATCATGAGTAAAATGCTTACCTGCAGTGTCGAGAACAGTTTTTGAATGTCTTGTGCTTATTTTATATGATTGGACTCTGATTCTGATATTCTTTCTTTATGGTTGAAATAAAAGCCTTCATTTCCCCTTAGGATAAGAAAACGCTTAGAAAAGGGTGCTGTCTCACTTTAAGTAAAGAAATCATTTTACACTGCAAAGGTTTTGGGCATATAGAATACAGTACTCGTTTGTCAGGTCAACTTGTTTTATTATTAGATATGTAATCTACAGCGGTGTTTAGAAAGTAGATGTAAAGGAATGTGATTCACCTTGTTTGGTTGGTGTTGTACTGATGAGAGACGGACTAATCAGAGGTTTGTAATCAATCAGTTCTTTTTTTAAAGCTTTTTCAAACTAATCGATTTCGATAGCTGTTATAGCGCCATAATAAAGGAGGATGTAACCGTCCTACAGCAAGTCTTTAAAAAGCAGTGCTGGTGATGTGTGCATGTGAGAATGCATTTACTGCAAAACAGGTTTTATTTTTTAAATAGTAGGACTGAAACTGAAACCGATGATTTTACTTATTGATTAATCTGTTTATTTTTTCGAATAATAATGGGATCGCAAAAGTTTTTTGTTTTTCTTACAGAATTTAAATAAAACTAACTATTCCACTTTAGGAGTTCTGATGGAGTATATTGATGTTTTTTTTATCTTCATTGTAGTTTCTTTTTTTTTTTTTTATACAGTTTTTGTATATGCTGCTCAGCTAAAGGCTAAAAGGCATGTTTTATTGTCTCTTTACTCCAGTTGCGATTAAGCGATCATTAAACTAGCTGACTGTTTCTTCAATAATAGATTAATCTTTATTAACATTTCAGTTAATGAATCTGTCAATGGTTTCTTCCCTAGAAAAATTTAAACACAAACACAACTCTTTGCTTCAAATTTATGTCTTTATCACAATTAACAGATTCTATTTGGTGGTGTAAATAGCACTGCATTGATTTTATATAATATTAAGATCTCACCTGCTGCCAAACGTCAGAGATATTGCACAAAAGTTTTTTTTTTCCATTAGAAGTGTTAAGAGCCAAAGGTTTTAATGGCAGTGAAGTTTTAAAACACTCCCTATTAAAAACTCAGATTTTTATCCTATTTTACATGAAAAATGTATAACTGTTTTGTCCCGATGAAAAGAAGCTAGATAGTAAAACTAACGAACGAGGAGGAAATAAAACTGATGCACAAGAACATAGAACTGCGACTGTTTAGCCTTTTAAAGGATCCAATATCTCTCTTCTTTGGCAAATTGTCCCTGACTCTATGGTCTCGCCACGGTGACCAAAATGCTGAGTAAATTTATATTTTAAACACCTTTTACACTCAAAGATGGAGTCTCTAAAGTGATCGGTTTTTATTTCTCATTGTAATATATTTACATAATTTGTTCCATACGATTGCTTATGCATGCCGCCATCTCCACACTGGTGCTGTAACGGAAATGGCAAATATAATTAGCACTTCTCTCCTAAGTGTTGTACAAGAAGATTTAATGAAGTTTACGTTAGATGACCCTTGGGTTTTCTGCTTGCAGACCCAACCAAAAACAAAAAAAGAAACCCCAACTGTAATACAAGGAATCTATCTGCACATATCTGCGGCTCGAGTAACGTTAATAAGCTCCACTCAGTCGTGGTGCACTTTGGTTTGTCACCAGGCAAATAAACAAGCTCATCATCTCCTCCATGCACCTCAGACTATAGAAAAAGAAAATATTCCAAAGCTTTTGATCATTCCTCCATGACATGCTGCATTTGTTGAGGACATTTTTTTTTTTTACTTTCAATGTGATGCAACCTTGTTGTATCTTACTTACAGCACTGATTCTTCATTATAAGGGAAGGAAGCTGGAATGGACAAGAGGAATAAGATGATCATCTGGAGTTCACTCCTTTAGCACACACAGTAGTAGCTCTGCAATGGACATTAAAGAGTAGTAGTGCAGATCTCTGGTGACCTCAGGTGGTTAACGACACTTACTGGGTTTGTCATCAGGCTTAAGTTTTTAAGGAAATTTAATCTAGTCTTTCACTCTCTACCGGAGTCCTCTAGTAGATGTACTTGACATCACTGCAGTTTTATTTGCTTTATAATTAGGAAACTTAATTCCTGCAAGCCATTGAAGCATAGGCTCGTGTATTTAAGTATACAGTGGCAAATTAAACCACTCATTTATAATTTGGTGCAAGACCATAAGCCAAATATGATAGAAGTCTTTTTTTTTTTCCTAATGTTGTATTTGTCTGTTTTTATTACAGGTGAGAAGTATATTTCAGAGGACCTATGGGGAGGTGGTATTGCTGTGCCCTCCAGGAGAAAAGGAGAGGAGGAATTTCTTCTCAGATTTGCTGCTGGTTCAAGCAGCCAAACCACCACCTCGGCCCAGGAATGCAGGTTACTTGATCTATTTATTAACATGTTCTCATGCTGGGCGAGGCAGCCCTGACTGATCCTTGCTGTTGGTTCTAGAGGGCACTGTTGGTTTTCTCCTAGCTCCCACCTCTGTATTAACCTTTTTTTATTGCAGTCTTTATTATAGATTATCCGTAGAAGGATAGTAAATGTGGTTTGATTATTTTTCTTAGGAATTTTTCCTGGTTTTTGCTACATTTTTGAGATGCACTGAACTAATTTGTCATGATATTTGCCAGCTAGTGGCTACACGCCTGTCTCTTGCCTACATCAAAACCATGTTTTTCCACTTTTCAATAAAATCCACACCTCCCTCTCTGACCTTCTGCCATTATCCCACTGCTCCTCACATCCCTGTTCCAGTTCTCTCACAGAGAAATGTCCAACCAGGCTTTCAAATGGAAATGGTGCCCGGTGCTCGTCTGCCAGTTCCACACTGAGGCGAAGCAGGGGTACCGGGTTTACCTGCTCTGCGCTCTGCAGGGGCTCCTGCCTTACTTAGACAGCTGTCTGACCTCTACTGGAGAGGCAAGCAGAACAAAGCATGGAGTGGAATTGCTATGAGAGGACCCAGTTGCGATTAGCCATAATTAGAATCAGGATTGCTGCTACTGAGTGAAATGCCCTCAGGGGCAGTAGACTCGTCTTAACGATGCCAGCAGATGCCTTGGGCAAGCATTTGTATCTTGGGAGAGGAGAAAGGGATATCTGCTTAAAATTCTCTATCACTGTGCCACTGGCCAGGGAATATTCTTCAGTGAATTTCAAAAGCGGTTTTTGTAGAATGCATCTGCACCATTTTTTTCTTGTTCCTCTGAAAATCCCAACCCCCCCTTCGGGTTAGATTTATCGGTTTTTGCTGTTATGTAGAAAAATTGGTTTAGAATCAGGTTTACATCAGAAAGTTTACTATTAATTGTAAGCTATCTGTCTATCTGTCCATCCATCTGTCCATCTTTCTACATTCTCTTCTGGCTTGTTTCCTTATATCATAACCACAAGTAAATAATAATATATTTTACACACATGGAAATTTAAAAAACAATTACTTAGTTACATTTTTTTGACTGAGATGACTGAGAGTCTTCACCAGCATACATCCTCATGAAAGTTGAAGGAGAAATATTTTGTTTTCTCATTGAGCTGCTTCAGTATTATACAATTCTCCATCAGAGTGAAAAAGATAGAAGAAAAGAGACTGTTAACGACATTTGAAGATTTGGTGTTTTTGACATGAAGCTTCTTTAACATCACTTTCCTTTTTTTCCAGAGAGATGTGAAGAGGTGCTGGAAGTGGCAGAGACGCCAGCCCCTCGGGTCCTGTCAGAGGAGGAAAAGCGCCGCCTAGCCGAACAGGAAGATAATACATTAAGGGAGCTCAGGCTCTTTCTCAGGGACGTGACCAAGCGCCTGGCCACAGACAAACGATTTAGCATTTTTAGCAAGCCGGTTGACATTGAGGAGGTAACGTAGGATGGATTCTCTTAGAAGGTCAGACTTGCAATGCTGCTTTCATGTCTTTGGTTAAAATGACCTTTGTATTTACTTTTTAGGTGTCAGACTACCTAGAGGTGATTAGGCAGCCGATGGACCTGTCCACAATCATGACAAAGATTGACACTCATCAATATTTGACAGCCAAGGATTTCCTGGTGGACATTGATCTCATTTGCAGCAACGCTTTAGAATACAACCCCGACAAAGACCCTGGAGGTAAGGAGACAATCTGAGTGCACGCTCTCCCTTTTCTAGGAAACTGTTTGTCGTTGTAAACTCTGCCACTATTAGTGGCTTTTATTTAGTGCTGAAGGCAGGACATGGGCAGAGGGAGAGGGGAGGGAAACAAGGGTCCACAGGTCAGGAATCGGTCCCACTTCGGATTACATTGACAACTAAAAGCCTCATTAAATGATGGGCCCTCTGTGCCGCTGCATCACCAGCCGCTCCTCCAGCCTCTCTACTGCACCACTACCAAAACTGGCAAAGTATTGTAAAAGAGGTACTGCGAATAACACAATTCAGATTAAGTCAATAGATCCATGCATTTAATCATAAACCTTTTTTTTCGTATTGTCGGATTAATTTGTCTTTCACGTCCCTAAACATTTTTTACAATTAGATGCATTATGAACAAATAACATCTTAAGTATATTTATAATCTAGTGCAGCCAACTGCCTTTAGAGCTTGACTATGCAGTAAATAGAGCCGACCTCAGTGGATATATCAATGTGTTCTATGGTGGCCTCTGAGGATTTGTAGAGGACATTAGTGAACAAATGGCATCATGGAGACTGAGGACCACAGCTGCAGTGTAACATTAGGAAGCAATATTTCGATCTCAAGAGGAGCACAGTGTAGTGAACAAGAGTAAAGAGAAGGAGAATTGGTTACTACAGATTTCCCCTGACATTAATATCAAATTTCATTGACTAACTGAAGAAGGGGATTATCAGAGATGGTGTCAGCAAGTATTTGTTGAATCTAGAGGAGCTGAAGAGACCAGCAGCTCAGGTGGGAGAATCTGCACTCCACAAAACTTTCCTTTTATGTAGGACTTTACAATCAGTTATGTAGCAGGCAACAGCACTCTCTTGAAAGTTGATTTCTTTTTTTATTTGGATGAGAAGACATTTAAGGACCTCCATACAAAATGCACAATGTGATGGGCCAAAAAGCAAACAAAAATACCTTTAAAAAAAAAAAAAAAAAAATGTCGCTGTCCATACAGTAAAACATGGTGGTGGCAGTATGTTGCCTGGTTTCAGCCAGTAAAGGGCTCTTGGAAGCTATGGTTATAATGTGATGAAATCAGATGTCAGTCAGCTTTGTAGGGATGGAAACTAGGGGTGTAAATCACATCCATCATGGAGATTCGATTCAGTATCGATTTCCTGACCCAACGATTCGATTATTTTCGATACTCAAGAATACACCACGATTCGATTCGATTAATCGGTTAAATTTTTTTAAAATTATGATTATTTTTTTTACACTAAACAAAGTTTCAAGTTTTAAATAAATCAATGAAAGCTGTAATATTGTTATGCATTTTTTTAAGAAACAACACCAAATAACAGAAGTAGAAAAGATGCATCAAAAAATACTGCACAGAATCATTGCAATGAGTTCAATTCAATACCTCGGCTCCAGAGTGTGGACGTCCCTGCCCCCTTGAGAGACGCTCCGCTGCACCTCTACCAAATTGTAGCTGACTGCAAACAGTGCCGCAGACAGGAGGCCGGCTTGTTTTGTTTTTATGACTGAAATTGCGGAAAACAACTCGTGAAGTTTGACCCGCTAGAAGAGTGCGGTGCGCGAGAACGCTGGGACCCTTTTTCCACCTGGATCTCCACTCTTTTTGGCCCTCATGTCCCTCCGTCGTCGGACAAACCCACAGTGTGTAGCTCAGACCACGCTTCAATACTGAGCATAATTTAAAAATGTCTGTGTCAAGCTTACTGCAACACACTGCTGTAAGAGTATAACCAGGAAGCGAGGTAGGAGGGCAAAATAGGTTTAGCTCCACCGCAGCACGGGAGGGAGAATTATGGCCAGGAGCAAATGGATAAAAATAGACCGGAGGAAAAAAACAAATATGAATCGATTATCTTGGGGACATGTCGATGCACCGGATCGTCGGCTTTTGGATCGATGCATTGATACAAAACGATTATTATTTACACCCCTAATGAAAACTGTAACCCGGTATCAGAACGTTCTAGGGCCAATCAGATGGTTCTCATGGCCTGATAAGCTTCAGCCTTCTGGTCCTGGTAATGGTATCTTATTAGTAGCAGAAAAAACATTCTTATAATTTTGACGAATATAAATTTATTTGTATCTATTTTAAATTAACCTATATTTGAACTAATGTTGAAATATTCCTTTTTTCTTTACAAAAAGAAAAGAGCACCTCTTACCACTAAACGCAGTGCTGTAAAATTNCCAGCAGCTCAGGTGGGAGAATCTGCACCCCACAAAACTTTCTTTTTATGTAGGAGTGGATTTTACAATCAGTTATGTAGCAGGCAACAGCACTCACTTGAAAGTTGATTTCTTTTTTTATTTGGATGAGAAGACGTCTAGGAACCGCCATACAAAAATGCACGGTGTGGTGGGCCAGAAACAGAACAAAAATACCTTAAAAAAAAAAAAAAGAAATGTCGCTGTCCATACTAGGGTTGTCAAAAGTATCGATACTCAAAAAAGTATTGATACTGAAACGTTGTATCCAGATACAATACTTGTTTTTTAAAAGTATCGATACAGTGCTACCACCAGTGGCACCTAAGCAGTCATTCATCTAAAGTGCAGAATAGAGGTCAATGCACTTTCAGAACAGTGTGTGATTAAATAATTCTGTGCACTTTTCAGTTTCAGACTTTTTTTTGTAAAAAAACGGTTGGCTAGTGTCATTGTTATGTGTGCAAAGCATAGCCAAGGAAGGAAAACTTAATTTTAATTTTATATGTTTTTTATCAAACTTGCTTAATATTGTGCACAGCAAACAACCTCAAAATATTGTTCCTATTGTTTATTGTATTTATTTATTGTATTTTATTTAATAATGAAAATATTTCAGTAGACTTTTGGAGTCTTTGTTTTTATCCATGTGGTATCGAAAATGTCGAAATATCGAGTATCGATATTTTCCTTAGTATCGTTATCGAGTTGAAAAGTCTAGTATCGTGACAACCCTAGTCCATACAGTAAAACATGGCGGTGGCAGTATTTTGCCTGGCTTAAGCCAGTAAAGGGCTCTTTAAATCTTTGGCTATAATGTGATGAAATCAGATGTCAGTCAGCTTTGTAGGGATGGAAACTGTAACCTGGTATCAAAACGTCGTTAGGGCCAATCAGAAAACAAAATTCTTATAATTTTGATGAATATTTATTTATTTGTATCTATTTTTAATTAACCTATATTTGAACTAATGTTGAAATATTCCTTTTTTCTTTACAAAAAGAAAAGAGCACCTCTTACCACTAAACGCAGTGCTGTAAAATT